GGCCTCGGCTTCCTCCCTGGGGCATTTTCATGAGAAATTGGTTCTGGGCAGGGAGGGGATGAGACTCCCTCCCTTCCTTCCCCGCTCTGGGCATCCCGAGGGACTGGAAAGAGGAAAGCTTGGAGGGAGGCAAAGGGTAAGTCAGAGGAACCAGGTATTTTCCAAAGAGTAAAAAATATCATCGGGGCCAAGTGAGCTTTTAGGGTGAGGCCCGATCCCCTTCCCTTCCTGATTCTCTCTGCTGCTGCCTGGCCTCCGCTCTCTCTGTCATCTCTCCCCGCTGCTCATTGTGCATGTCTGGGGGGTGGGGGCTTGTTTGGGCCAAACAGGGCATGGAGCTGTCCCCTGAAACTCAGAACAGAAGACCACGGTCCCACCAGCGCCCCTTCCTTGGAGCAAATCCAAGCTCCCGGCCAGAGCCTCCCTGGAGCTGAGCGATCCCAGGCAGGTGCTGCCAGTCGCCCCGCGTCCCGTCCCGAGAAGCAGCTCAGCACCTGGCATTCAGGCCTCTGTCACCCCCACCGCCTCCCAGCCCGGCCACAGCCTGGACCCCTCTCCAGGTGCACCCGGGAAGGTGCACCTCAAGCGCCCACACCGCCTGCACCTGGCTCTCCCACATCACACCCAGCCGCCTTCGCTGTGTGATGGCTGGAAACGTTGAATGCTTTCCCCTTCATGACCAGAAAGCGTTTTATTCTGATTGAAGTGAACAATATGAAGAGACTACAGAGCGCTGGCGCAGGATGAAAAGTTCCTTATATCCACAGAGTCCCACTTCAAAGTGTCCTGTGACAACGTTCCACTTTAATTAGGGGGAGGAAATTGCCATCTAACTTAATTAATATCAAAAACACCTTTCCTTATTCACCAGAAAGAAGGGTGGCTGCGGAGAAAGGAAGAGAGGCACTCCCGGAGAAGCTGGGCGGCTGTGCACAGACACCATGAGGAGGAGCTGTGTTCTCAATGGCCCCGCGTGCATCTTAGGTTCCGTGGAGAACTCTAAGGCCACAGAGAGTTCTTTGCCACACCCCCAGCACTCCAGCTTTCGTACAAAGTAAAGCCAAGGCCTGAGATCGTTATCTGGATATTTCAGAGAGAAACACAGAAATCAGGTTTTAATTCAATTTCTAAAGAGGATTTGCAGAGCGTGGTTTTGGAGAGCTGGGCCACGTGGCTCCAGCTACTCTCCACAGCCTTTTATGGACACTGTCCCTCCTCAGGGCTGCCTGTCCTTGTCACCACATCTCACCTTACTCCCCGCCCCTCCCCCAAGTGTTCTGGGAGGACTCCCAGGCATTTCTCTGGTCTCTCCTCTCTTTACACAATCAATCCACCATCTCCATCCTGCCTCCTAGTTGCCTCTCAAGTCTGTCCTCTTCCTACCACCACCCGAGGCAGGGCCTCTTCCTATCTTCCCTAAATGAGTTTCAAGGAAGCTCCTAATTGATGTTTTCTCTTTTCTCTTGTCCACGAGAGTCCATTCTCCAACCAGCAGCCAGTGTTCTTTTATGAGACATAAAGGCACCTCACTCCTCAGCTCAAAACCCTTTGCCGGCTTCCCATCATTCTTAGAAAAAACGAGAGCTTCCTCACGAGGACCTCACGCAGGCACTGCATGGTCTTGCTCTGCCTACCCCTCACATGTGCTCCTCACCCGCGCCGGGCTCATGGTGCTCCTTCTGCTTGGAACACTCCTCTTCCCATGGGACCTCAACCTAACTCACCCCAATACATCTCAAGTGTTATTTACTCTTGGAAAGATTCTGTGACACTCACCCCCAAAGCTAAGTTAAACTCACATAGAATATTACACCTCTTTGTAACACACATCAAAATTGCAATCAATTAAATATTTGCTCCAACAGCGGTTTGATATTTATCTTTTCTTGACGGTAAGCAGGTAGAACTAGAGACCAAGTGTGTCTTGTCACAGCTGTTTGCTGAGCTGCCTGCACGTTGTCAGGGCAGACATCGATCTAATCTCCATCAGCTTATTTTGGTCTAACAAACGCCATAGGAAACACCATTTTATTAAACCCATTGTACAGGAGTAGAGCATGACGCACAGAGATTGGGTATGACCCGAAGTCACACAGTAGTAGATGGTGGGTAGTATGGCTCCTGAATCTTGCTCTTCATCACTGTGCTTTTCATTACCTTTTGCCGGGGTCCAACCCCAACAGTTCCAGGGGTTCCCAAAGGTGTAGATGGAGTCGGCGAAGAAGGAATGACACGGAGACAGTGTTCAGTTGATCAGCAGCCTAGCCAGGATCTCCAGCCAAGTTCTGGTCTGGATCTCCAGAGAAGTTCTGCCGTTTATTGTCTTGTTACATCCGTATTTATACCAGTTGATTTTAATCCTGTCAATTTCTATTACAAAGGTTAGGGCGTTTCTTATCTCCATTCCAGGGAGTAAAGATTATGTAGCTTAAGCATGATTGTTTGTAGTTAAAGTGATTAACTACCCGCCTGGCACTTAGTTAAGGAGTTTCATCCCCTCCCTGACTTCAGGGAAAAATCCCTACCTGGGGAAACAACCTTTCTCGGAGAGGTGACCTTGGTTAAAACACATAGCACTAAGGGGAGCAAACATATTAAGAACAGTATGCTATATACGCCAGGTCCCTTGAAACATATGCTGTGCAGATGTTTCTTTCCTGCAGTGACTGTGTCAAGCAGCAAGGATGGACCGGCTTCCGGCAACCTTTCACACAGGAGGAGCACAATGTTCATTTATGGAAGGAGGGGAGGGAAGGAGGGAGGGAGGGAAAGAAAGAGAAAGAAATTTTGCCTACAAATAGTGAAGTGACCATATTGTACCAGGCATAACCCTATGGACTCCCACCCCACTCAGGGAGGTGCCATTCCTTCTCAGCACAGCACGCCTTTAACATGCCTAGGAAGGACCCTAGCCTCGCGATTGTCCCTAGAAACGCCTCTTTAAGGAATGAGCATCATCTGCAAATGCGTCCTGAGAAAGTTATGATGCCGGCTTGTCTGGGCAATCTCTCTGTCCCCATTCTTCACCCCATCCCACTTCCCTCAACATGAGGAGATGTGATCAATGCATGGAGTAGGGCCACCAACCATGCCCCAGTGAGTCCTGGGACACAGAGCACTCACACCGCCCTGCAGGCCATTTCATCTGGGGAGGGGGATGGAGATACAACTACTGCCAGACACCGAGCAAACCACTACGAACTCCAGGAAGCTTACAGACTTGACATGAAAGCTCTCGATGTCCTTCGACGGGTCATTTCGTAATGAAGGCGAATGTTCTGTGGCTGCTGTGACGGAGGCAAGTCTTACACAAAAGGCGACGTGGATCCAAAAGCAAAGGTGGTTGTGTGCAAGGTTTGTGTACACCAACAGGAACCACAGCCATTAGTAAGTTCTTATGATTATTTAAGAATGACATAAACATTTTTCCCTTTCAGCTTGTTTTTTCCCAATCAGCTATCAAATAGTGAGGGTCTTACTACTTAGAAGGCTGGCTGACGCTGGCTAATTAAAGACGGAACTGTCGTTCTTCTGACCCATGGGCACCACAAAGAGCTGCGGAGACTAAGATGCGGTGAGCTGAGCAAGCCTGGGGCCCTCTGGCATGGGTTCTGGGATTGTCAGACTAATATGGCAGCGGGAGAAGGGACAGCCCCCCTTAAACAGGACCACCTCAGACAGGACACTGGGGGTATCGCCTGGACCAGCTGCAGCCAGTAGACAGGGAAAGGGATCATGCTGTAAAGAAAATGAATGTATCTTTCAATGTTATGAGAATTATGACTTGATTATGGGGATACTCTTTGGTTTAAAAAAAAGTGAGATTAAAAAGGAAAGGAAGCGTGTATTCCACTTCATTATAGAAAATGAAATCTTAGAAGAAAATGTAATTTCATTAAAGAAGAGCAATCATTGCCCTAGCCAGTTTGGCGCAGTGGATAGAGTGTTGGTCAAGGGCATGTACCTGGTTGCGGGCACATCCCCGGTGGGAGATGTGCAGGAGGCAGCTGATCAATGTTTCTCTCTCATCGATGTTTCAAACTTTCTATATCTCTCCCTTCCTATCTGTAAAAAGTCAATAAAATATATTTTAAAAAAGAAAAGAAAAAGCAATACTTGTTTTGTTGCCACTCACTGTGCTAGACACAGGGAACACTACAGTCATGCTTCCCCCTTCATGGGAAGCACTGTGGTCAGTGCTATGAAGACGACAAACCTGATCAGCTGGGTGAGGAAGATAGGAATGGATGGATCAGGGGCGTCCTCTCAGGGGCTCTTAGCAGGCGATATCTGAGCTGAGGCCTGGAGCATAAGAATCAGTCAGGCTTTTCTTTTGCGTGTGTTTGTATGCTTGCATCTTACAGATTCTCATTTCTAATAAAGTAAATATCAATATTTAAATCCCATATAAATAAAAAGCTCTTTGGGGTTGTCTTTCTGTTTTTCCCAAAGTATAAGGGTCATGAGACCAAAAACTTAGAAAACCTCTGTGGTTTCTCACCAGCCGTGATTGGTCCATTTCTTGCTCTGACCTCATAAAGAGCCATGGTGAGGGAATTGCAAACCACACCCCAGCTGTGATTGGTCCATTTCTTGCTCTGACCTCATAAGGCGCCACTGTGATGAAACTGCAAACCACTCCTATATAAGACCCTGACCAGAACTGCCCATCAGGGGCGCTTTCGCGCAGAGCTGTTGCCTGGTGGGTCTCGGTAGGGAGCTGACCTGCAGGAGGGGGCGCTTTGGGGCGGCTGCAGATGCTCGCCTCTTCCCACGTGCCCATCAGGGGCCAGCCGGGCAGGCACTCCTCCTTTTTAGATGTCTCCTCAGGACTCGGTGGCACCCCGTACAGGTTCTCATGCTGCGCCTTCAGCATCGCAGGAGTTTCCTGGGGCCCGCATCGCACCCCCGGCAGGTAGTGAACAGAATGCTGGTCTGCCCTCCACGCCCAGGCCCAGGCTCCAGGTCACCGCCTCACAGGAAGATGGGGAAGGTGTTCTCTCCTCCTCCTCTGCCCGCGCCGTCCCTCCTCCAGCCCCGGGGCCTGCACAAAGCTGCTCAGAGCTTCGTTCTCTCCTCGCCCCGTGTTCAAGGCCCGGGTCTAACCTAGGGAGGGCCACCCAGCCAGCTTCGCCCCCTGCACTGCCCCAGAGCCTGAGCCTGGACCTGGGTCCGCCCGGGAGGCGCAGGCCTGGAGGGAAGGCCCGGAAGGGAGCGGGGCTTCAGCTGCAGGCAGCGCCCAGATGGCGGCCGAGCTCTGCGTCCAGTCCGGGGGCTTGCAGCCTGGCAGTCCCCTCACCCCCACCCCCTCATGGACCTGCTGCCAAGAGAAGGTGGCTACCTTGCTCCTGGGTGCCAGCGGTGTCCGTCCCCAGCTGCCATGCGTCCTCCCCCAGCTGCGGGACCTGCTATGATTTCATACAGATCTGTAGACAGGTATGGAAAAGACATCTGGAAAAATGATAGCATATCAAGGCAAAGATTTCAAAAAAAGTCATTTTTTAAATGTCCAGCCATAGGTACCAGCGCGCAGTCCTCGCAGGCACACTGTCAAGGTCTCCCACGGCCTGTTTCCTGATCTTAGAGCGCCCCCTGTGGAAAGGACGCTCCTACTGCCCTGGCTGCACAGGCTTCCTGCCCACCGGTGGCCGGGGATGGAAGAGGGAAAAGGAGAGGGAGGCAGGCAAACCCGGCAGAGGGAGGAGGAACTGCCCCCAGGGAGCACCACGTGGGCATACGCTCCCCGGGCAAGCACTGTGCCACTCACTGGACACGCATCATCTCACTAAACGCTCACACAGGAAAGAAGCCTCCAGCCCCAATTTACTAACAAAGAAG